CACCCCCCCTGGCTCCCAGTTTTGTGAATTTACATGCCAATTTAGTGATTGGAAATTTGAATTGAAATTTAAACATTAATACACACTTTAAAAGCATATACAGTGTGTGATAAGATATGTGTATCTGAAAAAGTGTAATAGATCTGAAAAGCATGAACATAGACTAGCTTCCTTATACAGCTGTTGTTTTTTATGACAATGTCAATGCATTCATTTTGGTGATGTTGGCCAACCTAATAATTTCAAATTATGATTTGTAAGCAAAGTCAAAATGAGCTCTCCTTAACTGCTAGTGATGAGCTGGGGGAAAAGGCTTCAGGACCAGATTGTATTTACATTCACACCTAATCTACCTAGGTGTCTAGCAAACAGCTGTGTTGCCCAAGTGATAGATTTTGGCTGGGGTTGGGTTACAAATCACTGAATGCAAGGGATGGAGGGGGGAATGAAATGTTGTTGCTCTTATTGTATGACTAAATGGTAGTAGAACTGTACTTAACCTTGAGGGCATCAAGAAAGAGGGTGGGGACAGATGTTTTACTTGATGGTCTTTCTGAATCACAAGTACTATATGACCTGCCCCTCTCCACTGTTTAAAGACAAGAGCTGATTAGGCTCCCTATATAGTCTTTTGTTAAGTGACCACTACAGCTGAAATCACTGATAATCAGCTCTAAGTGCTTAGTCCTGCTGTGGGGAGAGTGTTCCTGTGGGTACAGTGATTTTATGTAAGAGAGAGCCCAGACTGTACTAGCAGCCAGGTTCCCCCACTGAGAGCTCAGCTGAAATCACTGAGAGCTGGCTGGAACCTCAAGAAACCAACTCGCAGAGGTCACAGTGGCAGGTGGCAGCAGAAGGTGACGGCACAGGGCCATTGACAACAGAGTGACGGAGTGAACAGTGGCACAATGAATGTTCAGAGAAGACTATTGCCATTCTCTCTCGTAAATCTACTGTTGAAACCACTTAGGTCATTAAACAATGCCATCCAGGCATCTGCTACAACAGTAGTAGATCCAGCAACAGAAGGTATATCTGGGTCAATCTATCCAGTGAAAAAGTACTGGAAGAAGCAAAGATTTCAGTCCAGAAGTTGACTAATGAAGGCATTTATATTGAATCCTTAAGTGAAGAGGACAAGATGTGTTTAAGACAACTGAAAAAGTACACAGACTTGATTTCTTAAAAATCTACAACAGCGACTTCTAGATTCTACTCAACCTCTACGTAGCTTTTACAGATGCCTGTCCTACAAAACACCGACAGTTGAGTGGAGAGAGGCACTACCAGCAATGGGGCTGCCATGTGCTCAGGACAGAATAGAGAATTTGAACACAGAGTGGAATATCATACGACGAATAAATGAAGATTTGACTTCAACTTCTTTTTTATCATCACTAGTGGCTCGACCAGATCTTTGTGCCGTGTTTCCTGGGATGAAAGAAGGAGGAATTCATCTCTTGCCACTCCCAGTCACAACAGCTACAGCCGAGCGTTCTTTTTCATCATTGAATAGAATTCTGTGTTCGGAAAGAAGTCGCCTTCTGCCTGATCATGTGAATGAACTAATGGAGAAGCCACCAAAGATGAACGCATTGCCGGACACTGGAGAAGCCACCAAAGATGAACGCATTGCATTCGAGAAGTTCATTAACAGAGTTGTGCAAAATTATAACAAGAAACCAAGAAGGATGTAGACGTAGTGCTTCATGGAAGGCTTGAGTAACCAACTTTAATTTGTGCGATGTTAAAACGTGAGTTAAATCTAATAAAATGGTCATGAAGCATTTTTCAATTTTTAGTGTGGTGACATACAGCCCACCTTCACTCTCACATTCTCACCTCTTATCCGCCCTGACCCCCCCCCCCCGGAAATTCGAACACCCCTCCCCCCCATTTCCCTCCCTCTCCCTCCTGCGGGGGAACAGCAATGTGGTGTCTGGAGTGGTGCATAGTGCAAAAAAAAGTAAGTGTCCCCTCAACTCCTCATGCCCAGACCCTGCACCCCCAGTGCCTCATGCATCCTCACTCCCACCCCCACCGTGCTCCTGCACCGCCTACACTGCTCCTGAACCCTTCTCCTGGGACAGACACCTACCCCAACCCAGCTCTTGCACCTTTCCCCCTGAACAGGCCCCCTGCCCCTAGCCTGCTCCTGTCCCCTCCACTCTAGACAGACACCCTTTCCTCAGCTTGCTCCTGCACCCTCCCCCCAGCCAGATTCCCTGCCCCGAGACTGCTCCTGCCCCCTCCTCCTGCCCAATCAGGGACCCAGTCCCCATCTGGCCACAGTGTCCTGTTCCTGGCTCCAATCCTGGGGCAAGCCCATCGGGCCACAGGAAGGGCTGGTGGTGGCCCCTCCTCCTGCTGCTGCATGGGTAGGAGGGGAAGCCACAGTCTGGCTATGGTGGACAGAGGGGTGGTGCATCCCTCTATAATAATCTTTGAGTGAAGGTTATTTTATGTTTGGTATTTTAAAACTGTCCCAGCCAAAGCCACCACTTCCATTAGACAGTTTAGGGCAGCCACCCCAGGTACTGTGTTTTGGGCAGTGTGGGAGATTACTGGGGAAGGAGGGAAGCCTGGCACTGGCAGCAAGGGCTGATCTCATCTCTGCACTCACCGGTGGTGGTTAGAACCATGGGAAGCGGAGTACTCTGGCCTGAGCCTGCTCTGCTCTTCTCCTTCCCAGTCTTTCACTTCACTTAGTAGCAGGAAGCAGAACACCTAGCCTCAGCCCACTCCGCTTGGCTGAACACTGGGTCTGGCAACTGGGCTCAGATCCCACCACCACAGTGTGAGGGGACCCCTGCTGCCAATGCTGTGTCTCCCAGTAATCCCCTGTGGCATGTTGCTCAAAGAGGAGGTCTGGGGGAAGGGATGGAGTGGGTGCAGAGCAGGATGGGTTGTCCTGGATGCCTGTCCCCCCCCCCCCCTTTTTTTTTAAGAATGGGGTGGGGAGATTTTGCTTTGTAAGAGTTACTTTTTTGGCCTGCTAATTTTGTCTTTTTTCAAAGTGTTCAGATACTTCGGTAATGATGAGTATAGCTTAGATCCGTGGTCACCAACCCGTCAATCGTAATCGACAGGTTGATCGCGAGGCCTCGACCAGTCGATGGCGAGGTGTTCGGGCACCCCCACCTACCTCTAGTGTAGTGGCAGCTTCCTGCAGGGTGGACGGAAGTCCTGTCTGAAGCCCGCGTCACTTCCGGGGGTTCCGGAAGCGCGCGGGCTGCTCCCCTCTCACAGCTCTGTTGAGTACTGAGGGAGGGGGCATTGGCCCTGGAGGAGGAGTGCGGCGGCTTCCCCGC